ATTCATCCTTTCTGAAGGCTGAGTAACAGTCCATTGTATATACGTACCATATCTTCTTTATTCATTCATCTGTTAAGGACATCTTGGCTCCTTCCACATTTTGGCTATTGTGGACACTGCTTCTATGAACATTGGGGTGCATGTGACCCTTCTTTTCACTACATCTGTATCTTCGGGGTAAATACCCAGTAATGCAATTGCTGGGTCATAGGATAGCTCCATTCTTAACATCCTGAGGAACCTCCATACTGTTTTCCAGAGTGGCTGTACCAGCTTGCATTCCCACCAACTGTGTAACTTGCATTCCCACCAACTTTCTCCACATCCTCGCCAACAGTTGTTATTTCTTGCCTTGTCAATTTTTGCTATTCTAACTGGTGTAAGGTGGTATCTCAATGTGGTTTTGATTTTAAGTTCCCTGATGGCTAATGATGTTGAACATTTTTTCACATGTCTGTTAGTCATTTGTATGTCTTCTTTGGAGAAATGTCTGTTCATGTCTTCTGTCCATTTTTTGACTTGATTATTTGTTTTTTGGGTGTTGGGTTTGAGAAGTTCTTTGTAGATCTTGGATACCAGCCTTTTATCTGTAGTGTCATTTACAAATATATTCTTCCATTCTGTGGGTTGCCTCTTTTTTTTGTTGACTGCTTCCTTTGCTGTGCAGAAGCTTTTTATATTGATGAAGTCCCAAAAGTTCTAAAATTTGTATGGAATGAGAAAAGACCCAGAATCACCAAGAAAATGTTGAAAAAGAAAACCAAAGCTGGGGGGCATCACGTTGCCTGATTTCAAGCTTTATTGCAAAGCTGTGATCACCAAGACAGCATGGTACTGGCACAAAACCAAATACATAGATCAATGGAACAGAATAGACAGGCCAGATATGGACCCTCAACTCTATGGTCAACTAATCTTAGACAAGCAGGAAAAAATACTCAATAGAAAAAAAGGCAGTTTCCTCAATAAATGGTACTTAGAAAATTGGACAGCTATATACAGAAGAATGAAATTCGACCATTCTCTTACACCATACAAAAAGATAAACTCAAAATGGATGAAAGACCTCAATGTGAGGCAGGAATCCATCAAAATCCTAGAGGAGAACATAGGCAGTAACCTCTTTGATGTCGGCCACAGCAACTGCTTTCAAGACACATCTCCAAAGACAAGGGAAACAAGAGTGAAAATGAACTTTTGGGACTTTATCAAGATAAAAAGCTTCACCTTTAGTTGGCCCCAAAAAGCAAGTGTAACAGGCTGGGATACTACAACCCCCTTTCCTTGTTTGTTCCTGGCTTGTTTGCTCTCTTCTGCCTGGTCCCCATTTTTCTGGCTTGGTAACACCAACTGTGATCTTTAGTGCTAGTGATTTTCTTGACTGTTCTACTATCTTCTTGGATTTTGGCTTTGTTCATTTCTTCAGTTCTGGAATTCCGAGGGATCTTGTGACAACTTCCCATTTTAGTCCCTGAACCTTGAGATTCCACTCAGTCATCTGGATAGTGTTGGGAATGGATGGGATTAAGTCACTGTCTCTCCTACTGACGGATGTAAACTTCACTGTTCAAAAGTGAATTATTTTTTTAGAGGTAGTCCAGTGTGGGCTTTTAAGTACAGGGATGTTATGGGAAAGCTGATCAACATCCAGTGATATCATTCATCAGGATTTGTGGTGAGCACAAGGGGCATGATGATCTGTCAGATACTCTCAATTAGAAAAGCCAAAGTGCCTGTGCTCCCAGAACAGTGACCAACTGTGACATGTGCCCCAGGGAGGTTACATGAGGCGCAGGCATATGTATCAGTTCCTACTGCTGATGAAACACATTATCACAAGCTCATAGCTCAAAACAATACAAATTTATTCTCATACAGTTTGGGAGGTCAGAATCCAAAATAAGTCTCACCGGGCTAAAAACCAGGTGTTATTAGAGCTGTGTTCCTTCCAGAGGCTCCAGGGGAGAATTCGCTTCCTTGCCTTTCACAGCTTCTAGAGTGCAAACGCATTCCTTGGCTTGTGGCCCCTTCCTCCATCTTCAAAGTAAGCAGCAAAGCACCTTCAAGTCTAACACTTTCCCAGTTCCCTCTTTCACTTACAAGGACCTTTGTAACTACATTGGGCCCACCTGGATAAACCAGGATACTCTTCCCATCCCAAGATCTTAACTTAATTTCTGCAAATCTCTTTTGTTTGTGAAATAACACATTTACAGTTTTGGAGGATTAGGATATAGATATCTCTGGCAGGGCATTATCCCCCCCCCCTTTTTAATGTTAAGATACATATAACATAAAATTTACCATCTTATTTTAGGTGTATAGTTCATTGGTATTAAATACATTCATTATGATGTTCAACCTTCACCACCAACCATCCTCATAACTCTTTCATCTATACCTAGTAAACAATAATTCCCCACATCCACTTCCCCCCACAACCACCATTCTACTTCCTGTCTCTATGACTTTGACTACTCTAAGTACTTCATGTAAGTGAAATCACCACAGAATATTTAGTTTCTTTGTGACTGGTTTATTTCACTTAGCATAATGTCCTCGAGGTTCATCCATGTTATAGAATGTGCCAGAATTTCCCTACTTTTTAAGGCTAAATAATATTCCATTGAGTGTATACACCACTTTTTGTGTATCCATTCATCCACTGATGAACACCTGGGTTGCTTCCATGTTTTAGCTATTGCAAATAATGCTTCTGTGAACACAGGCATACAAATAAGCTTTTAAAATCCTCTTTTCCCAATTCTTTCAGATATATGACCAGAAGTGGAATTGCTTTATCATATGGTAATTCTATTTTTAATTTTTTGAGGAACTGTCATGTTTTCCACAGCAGCTATATCATTTACACTCAAACCAATAATGCACAAGGGTTCAAATTTCTCTGCATCCTCACCAACACTTGCTATTGTCTTTTTTTTTTTTTTTGATAGTAGCCATCCTAATGGGTATGAAGAGGTATCTCACTATAGTTTTGATTTGCACTTTATTATCGGTAATGTTAAACTTCTTTTCATGTGCTTATTTGTATATCTTCTTTGGAAAAATGCCTATTTAAATTTTTTGCCCATTTTTAAAAAAAAGGTGTTATTTATTTATTTGAGAGAAAGAGAGAGAGTGAGAGACAGGATGGGAAGGGAGAGGGTCAGAGGGAGAAGCAGACTCCCTGCTAAGTTGGGAGCCCGATGCGGGACTCAATCCTGGCACTCTGGGATGATGACCTGACACCACCCAGAAGCCCTTGCCCATTTTTTAAAAAGTGTTTTTGTTGTTGTTGTGGAGTTTTAGGAGTTTTCTATGGTTTCTGTATATTAATTCCTTGTCAGATATATAATTTACAAATATTTTATCCCATTCTCCAGGTTGCCTTTATACTGTGTTGATACCATCTTTTAATGCATGAATTTAAAAATTTTTCGTGAGGTCCAATTTGTCTACTTTTTCTTTGTTCATTGTTAATGTATAAAAATGCAATCGCTTTTTGTTAGTTGACTTTGTATTCTGCTACCTTGCCAAATTCATTTACTATTTTTAACAGGTTTTTTCCTTTCTTTTTTTTTTTTTTTTGTGTGAAATCTTAAGGGTTTTCTACATATAAGAGCATATCATTTGCAAGCAGAGATCATTCTAATAACATTTCACTTCTGATTTGGATGCCTTTTATTTATTTTTTTTGCCTAATTGTTTTGGACAGAAATCCCAGTACTATGTCGAGTTGAAATGGAAGAAGTGGGCATCCTTGCCTTGTTCCTGATCTTAAAGGAAAATCTAGTCTTTCACCATGATTATGATGTTCCCTGTGGGATTTGCATATATGGTTTTTATTATGTGGAGGTACTTTTTTCTGTTCCTAGTTTTTTTGAGTGTTTTAAAAATTTTTAAAAAACGCTTTTATTTATTTGTGAGGGAGAGAGAGAAAGTGTGCACATGTATGAGCAGGGGAGAGACAAAGGGGGAGGGATAGGGAGAGAGCAAATCTCTCAAGCAGACTCCACTCTGAGCAAGGAGCCTGATGTGGGACTTGACCTTAACAATCCTGAGATCATGACCTGAGCTGAAAGCAAGAGTCAAATGCTTAACCAACTGAGTCACCCAGGCACCCCAAGTGTTTTTATAATGGAAGGGTGTTGAATTTGTCAAATGCTTTTTCTGTATCAATTGAGATGATCACGCATTTTTCTTTCCATCATTCTGTTAATGTATGTATGTATGTAATGTCTAATTACAATGACTGATGTTCATTTACTGAACCATCTTTGCATCGCAGGAATAAATCCCACTTGGTCATAATGTACATAATCCTTTTACCACGCCTCCTAGATTTGGCTTGGTAGGTTTGTTGAACATTTTCACATCAATGTTCATAAGGGTTATCAGTGTGTAATTTTCTCTCTGTGTAGTATCTTTGTCTGGCTCTGGTTTCAGGGTAATGCTGGCTTCACAGAATGAGTCAAAGTGTTCCCTTCCCTTCAATTTTTGAGAAAGGCTTGAGAAAGATTGGTGTTAGTTCTTTAAATATTTGGTAGAATTCACAACTGAAGCTATCAAGTCTAGGGCTTTCCTTTGAACATTTTTGATTACTGATTCAATCTCCTTACTAGTTCTATAGGTCTATTCAGATTTTCTATTTCTTTCTGATTTAGCCATGGTAGGTATTTTGTTTCTAGAAATTTATCCATTTCATCTAGGTTATCCAATTTGTTGGGGTACATTGTTAATAGCTCTCTCTCATAATCCTTTTTATTTCTGTAGAATTGATAGTAATGTTCCCACATTCTTTTCTTCCCTCACCTTTACTGAGGTATAACTGACAAACAAAATTGTAATTTATTCAAAGTATACAACATGATGATTTGATATATTGATAATTGTGAAATGATTCTCACAATCAAGTTAACATATCCATTACTTCACATAGTTACATAGTAGAATGCTTAAAATCTACTGTCTTAGTAAATGTCAAGTATATTATAACTATAGGAAATATGGAACACTTCAAGAATTTGAGTGTCATCCTTGTGCAGGGGCCATACTAATCTCTGTATTGTTCCAGTTTTAGTATATGTGTTGCCAAAGTGAGCACTCCATTTTCATTTCTGAGCTTAATAATTTGATTCTTCTCTCTCTTTTTCTTAGTTCATCAGTTGAAGGTTTTGTTAATTCTCTTGCTCCTTTCAAAGAACTCAAAGTTTGGTTTCATTGATTTTCTTTTTGTTATTTTGTTCTCTATTTCATTGATCTCTGCTATAATCTTTATTATCTCCTTCCTTCTGCTTTGAGTTTAGTTTGCTCTTCTTTTTCTAGTTCCTTTGTATAGTTAGTTTTTTTTTTTTTTTTAAAGATTTGATTTATTTGAGAGGGAGAGGGAAAGGGAGTGAGCGAGCATGAGTGGGAGGGAAGAGTGGGGCAGAGGGAGAGGGAGAGGACTCCCTGCTCAGCAGGGAGCCTGATTCGGGGCTTGATCGCAGGACCCTGAGATCATGACCTGAGCTGAAGGCAGACACTTAACTGACTGAGCCACAGAGGTGCCTCTGTATAGCTAGGTTGTGGATTTGAAATATTTCTTTTTTAATGTAAATGTTTATAGTTATACACTTCCCCCCTCAGCAGTGCTTTTACTGTGTCTTCTAAGTTTTGATATATTATTTTGTGTTTTCATTTTCATTCATTGTTAAGTATTTTCTAATTTCCCTTGTGATTTTTTCCCTCAATCCATCTGTTGTTTAAGAGTGTGTTGTTTAATTTCCACAAATTTGTGAATTTTTTAGTTTTACTTCTATAATTAATTTTTAACTTCATCCTGTTATAGTTGGAGAAGATACTTTGAATGGTATCTATCTTTTTAAATTTCCTGAGACTTCATCTTTGGCCTAACAGCTGGTCTATCCTGGAACATGTCCCATGTGCACTTGAGAAGAATGTGTATTTTGTTTTTTTCTGGGTAGTGTTCAGGAAAGGCATTATTCTGCTTATCACAATGGGACTCGTTATTCACAATCCATGCATTTATTCAACAAATATTTATGGAGGACCTACTTTGTGACAAGCACTACGCAGTGCACTAGGATTCAGCAGTAAAATCTATGCCCTTTTCCTGATAAAGCTTACATTTTAGTGCAGGAAGATATTAGGAACAAATAAATAATATATGTAATAGTATGGCAGGTATACAAAGTGCTACAGTGAAGCAGGGGACATGGCCAGATATGAAGATGTAGGTGAATGTATAATACTATTTTATATAGGATGGTTGGGAAAGCTCCTTCCTCCCTCCTTCCCTCCCTTCCTTCCTTTAAATATTTTATTTATTTGACAGAGAGACAGTGAGAGAGGGAACACAAGCAGGGGGAGTAGGAGAGGGAGAAGCAGGCTCCCTTCTGAGCAGGGAGCCTGATGCAGAGTTGGATCCCAGGACCCTAGGATCATGACCTGAGCTGAAGGCAGACACTTAACAACTGAGCCACACAGGCATCCGAGGGGAAGCTCTTTCTAAAGTGTTAAGTAAGCAGAGTTCTATAGAAAGTGAGGAAGGAAGTTCTATAGAAAATGAGGTTGTGAGACTAGAGTGTTTTTTACAGAAAAGCAGCAGGTCTCAGGTCTTGGGAGTCAGGAAAATGCAGGACATGTTCAAGAAATAGCAAGGCCAGGGATGCCTGGGTGGCTGAGTGGGTTAAAGCCTCTGCCTTTGGCTCAGATCATTATCTGAGGGTCCTGGGATGGAGCCCTGCACTGGGCTCTCTACTCATAAGGGAGCTTGCTTCCCCTGCTCTCTATGGCTACTTGTGATCTCTGTCAAATAAATAAAATCATATATATATACACACATATATATATATATATATGTACATACACATACATATATATGTGTGTGTATATATATATGTATTTATATTTATGTATATAAAATAAATAGCAAGGCCAGTGTGGCTATAGCAGACTGAGGGAGTAGAAGAACATTAGGAGACAAGATCAGAGAGGCCAGGAAGATCAGGTAGGGTCTTATAGACCATTGTAGGGAAATATAAGGATTTCACTAAATGAGAAGGAAAGTCATTGTAAGGTTCAGAGGAGTGATGTATCTGACTTAGGTTTAAAAATAATCACTATATCCAAAGGGGCACATGCACCCGAATGTTTATAGCAGCAATGTCCACAATAGCCAAACTACGGAAAGAACCTAGATGTCCATCAACAGATGAATGGATAAAGAAGATGTGGGGTGTGTGTGTAGATATAGATAAATGAATGAATATTAGCAGCCATCAAAAAAACGAAATCTTCCCATTTGTGACAATGTGGATGGAACTAGAGGGTATTATGCTAAGTGAAGTAAGTCAGTCATAGAAAGACAATTATCATATGATCTCTCTGATATGAGGAATTTGAGAAACAAGTCAGAGGATCATAGGAGAAGGAGGGGGAAATGAAACAAGATGAAATCAGAGAGGGAGACAAACCATAAAAGACTCTTAATCTCAAGAAACAAACTGAGGGTTGCTGGCGGGGAGAGGGATAGGGTGGTTGGGCGATGAATACTGGGTAGAGTATGTGCTATGGTGGGTACTGTGAATTGTGTAAGACTGATAATTTACAGACCTGTACCCCTGACACAAATAATACATTATATGTTAATAAAAAAATAAAAATGTAAAAAAAAATAATCACATAGCTAATTGGTTGAAAAGCTTTTAGAAGAGCCAAGACAGAGGCAGGGAGGCTGTTTGGATTATCCAAGTGAGAGATCATGGTGGATGAACCAGATTGGTAGCTATGAATGTGGTGGGAAGTGGTTGGATTCTGAGAATCTTCAGACGGGAAAGCCAACAGGATTTCTTGATAGACAGGATGTAGGTGTGAGAGAAAGAGGAGTAAAAAACGGCTCACTGGATTTTGGCCTGAGTAACTGGAAAAATGTGTCTGCCATTTATAGAACTGGGGAAGACAGTGGATAGAGCATGACTGGGGTGGAAAACCAGGAGTTCAGTCTTAAACTTGTTAAATTCAAGATGCTTATTAGACATCTAAGTGGAGATAATGAATTAGAAATTGGATAAAATGAGTTTTCCAAGGGTAGCTATTTTTGTCAGTTTTGTCCCCAGAGCTTAGAACAGTGGTCTGACACATAGTAGCCACTCAATAAATATTTGTTGAATGACTGAATAAATACATAAGCCAAAGGTCAGAGGAGTGGTTGAACTTGAGATATGTGGGAGTCACCAACATATACATGGTACTTAAAGCCAGGAGCCTATCCAGTAAGTGAGCACAGATACTGGTTTGAGTATTGAACCTTGGGATACTCACACATTTATAAGTTGGGGAGAGAAGAATAAATCAGCAAAGGAAACTAAAAAATAGAAACCAACGGGGTAGAAGGAAAACCAGGAAAGTATGGTGTCCTAGAAGCAAAGTGAAGATAGTTTCAAGGAGAAGGAAGGAATCAATAAAAAAGTTTAACTAAAAATAAATGAGAACTGAAAAAAGGATGAAATTTATAGAAATGACTGTTAAGTCCTATTTTTAGATTTTTATAAAAACTAACCGCCTATGTTTGGAATGGGAAGATGGTATGGTGACAGGGGATTGGAATACAGCTCTCAGTGGTAAGTAGGGAAAAAGGCTTAGCAAATTAGCTGCCTAACAGTTCAAATGAGGAAAGAGTGTTGCTTGTTTACCAATGAATGTAATTCCATTTCTGACTGAATTAATAGGAGCACAATGTACATAACAAGAAAGGTTCAGTTTGGGAGCCTTGGAACCTTCCAATACCCTGGAAGCACTGGCTCCAGCACTGGGTGCCATACTACATTCAGGACACTGATGTATCAGAAAGTTCCCTAGGAAAGTGACTTGTGTGGTAGAAGTATCTGGAAACAATGTCATCTGAGGAACACTTGAAGGAATTGGGAAATGCATCTCAGAACTGAAGGCCATAGAAGTTATCTTCAAACTGAAGAGGTATTATATTGTTATTTATGACCCCAAGGAGTAAACAGATAGTAGATAACAGATAGTAGATAAACTTCTGAAAATCTTTCTAAGAATTAGAACACCCCAAAGTTAAATGGGATATTGGTAAGGTATTACATTCTTCCCTATTCTGGAAAAAGTAGAAGATCACATCCACTTAAGTGGCAGAGGGTACTCAAACCTCAGCTGGGCATGGAACACAATGATGTCTAAGATTCTGTTCAGTCCTGGGTTGCTGTAACAGCTGTGAATCTACTTGGAAAATTATACTCTCATACACACACACACACACAAACACACACACTATAGCTTGTTTGATGCAGATCTAATTTGGAGCCCCACTGAAGGGAATGCGGATGATTTAGTGGAGATGTAAGAGGAAGAGAAAACTGAAGGAGGGAAAGATGTATGGGTAAGCATTATAAGATATCTGGATATTTGGTTAGAGAAGCAAAAAAGTATAGGGACAATTAGAGTAAGATTATCAAGTAGGGTGGGGCTGGCTAATATTTGGGAGGATTTCCAAAGTGCCTAATGGTAAGCTTCAGTTGAACTCCAAGAGGAGTTTCTGGGAAGGAAACCTTCCTGGGAAGAGAAATCATAGGTGATGAAAAGAGATGGACATTCTTGTTGGTTCGAACGGACAACCTGGAAGAGGCTGGAGAAAGAGGAAGACCAGGAGGACACCAATGGAAACAAGAGGTAGAGGGTGAGGCCACTAAGAAGAAACTGGGGCTCTGACAGAGGTCTGAGTAGAGGCCCAAGAAAGTGGAAGATACAGAGGCGATGGCCTCCAGATAGTCTGGGCCAACTAAAGATGGAAGGAATAAGGGTCAGGGAGGAGCCCAGGAGGTGAGAGTGCAAGCAGCTCTGGGTGACTGACAACAGGATCTAGTTCTGGATCTTGGAATTGTGGGTTAGGGCTACTATTCAAACATGTCTCTCCGATGGGACATTTCTGACCTCCTAACTTCAGCTTTCTCATAGTCACTGTAAGTAGTGAAGGGCCCTGTGCTGCTTTTGGCTGGTTTTGCTGATGTTCTGGCTTCTCCTATCTTCAGAATTTGGCAGTTAGGCTGAAGGAGCTCTGCCAGAGGCTCTGCTGTGCGGCCA